CAAAAAAAGAAATGTTTGAACCTTTAACCTGAAAAGTAGATTCAAACATTCCAGTTTGAAATGTTTTTTCAGTTTTATGTCTTTTTTCCCTTTGAACAAACTTTATGGCCCTAATTTAGCTCCATACTGCTGGTTTCCAGCTCCATGCAGAGCGACCACCTGGCTGCCGACTCGGCCATCTCCCCTGTCCGGGCACCGCGTGTTGAGCCTCACCCTGCGCTCTGCGTGTGGACCCGCTTACGACACGGCGGATGAATGCGTTTGGGTTGCAGCGGGCCGACATGTGAGCGTAGATAACAAATAGACACGTCTAAAAACAGAACCGCTCATTACAAACAGCCCGTCTCTCAGCGAGCCGCGGCCCCCGGAGACAGTCTGGTCCTCAAAGGGCCGCAGCGCCGCGCCACGCCGCGCCGGATGCTAATGAGCGGAAACATCAGCCGGACCGCCGGCCAGGTCGGCGGTTCTGGCAGGGAGCGGAGAGGAATGAAACGCCGGTCGTGGTGGCAGGCCGGAGAGATCAGCACCAAACAGCTGATTCCTCAGATGGAAGAGGTTCTGAAGGTTCTGTATGGTCAGAACCAACCGGACCAGCCGGATCAGAACCGACCAGGTCATCCAGACTTTAACTTCCTGGCTCTGACTGAAACCTCCAGGTTTCCCTCCAGGCTCGTCCTGCTTTGGCTCATCCATCTTCACATGAACCCTGACCTGCTTCCCACAGCATGATGCTGCCACCACCATGTTTCACACTGCTGCAGTAGTCCAAAGATAAACATGGATGAGTTTCTCTGTCTGAGACGTCAGTCCTCTAATCCTGACGTGACGGAAGGCCGACTTTGTGACCGTCTCTATGTGTCTCTGGAGGTTCAGCTCTGAGCCTTTCTCTGCGGTTTCCTTCTGGTTGGTGTGAATGAACTCATCGTGATGCCAGACCTTCCAGCAGAGGAACATCTGGACGGGTTTCTGCTGACTCCCATAATCCCCTGCTCTCCATTACCCCGTTCCTAATCCCCCTCCTATCATACCGTGTTTCTCCTAATCCCCCGGGTATCTGTTACCGGCTCGCCGGGTAATTGTGAGTGCTGTGTGTGATGTGGGCGGAGCCTGGAGGACGAGGCGATAATCTGGAGGCGATGAGTGACGGAAGGCGACAGCCAGCAGGATGGATTTAGATTCTCTCCGTTTCATGAAGCTCTAAACGCTGAAGCTGTCAGGAGGCCGACGCAGTTTCAGCCTCTCTGCTTTCACCCAGACGAAGATGAAACGACTCACAACCTGCTGCAAATACAACAGAAAAACTCAGAAAATAAAGCTAAATAAAAACAACATCAAGAACAACACGCTGCAAACTAATCAGAAGTCCTCCAGACCACCAGGGGGAGTAATTCACCTTTTCTTCTCCTGGACATCCCATCTTCATTGAGGGAGAAGAAAGTTGGATGATTTGGTGATCGACTCCCCCTGGTGGCCTGGAGGGTTTGTGATTTGTGAATGGAGACGTTTCCCCCTGTTGCTTCTACTTTGGGCGATCGCAGCATTTCCTGCTTGTATCGTTTTTGGGTTTTGGATTTTTTGTCACTGTGTGTTTTGGAGTTAGCTTCGCTCATGCGTTTGCCGGCCGTCTGTCGCTCGCAGCTGAAAATGACATTTTTCATCAACATTAAAATCCTTCTAGTAGCGATGACACGAACCAATCCCTCCAGGATTTCACAATTGTTTTTTTTAATCAAAATCACTTATTTTGTGGTGCGTTTTTAGAAATATTTGCGTTTTGTTTTACGATAATTTCCTCCCTCTGTTGTCGGATTGCTCCGCTCTGCTCGGTCCGACTTTTTGTTTCACTTCTCATCGATCGTGGACGCTAACTTGACATCAGGTAAACGTGAAGTAGCAGAGGAATGGGGAACACTGCCACCTGCAGGAGGGAGTTGGCAGCACTTCAGCTCAGGGTTTTTGAACATTTTGCAGAAAATCTGGAATAAACTCACAATCATACGTTAGTGTGAAAAATGTGTTTTGATGATTTTCTGAAATATCTGATGTCAGCCTGGAGCTAAAGGTCGGTGACCCTCAGGTTCAGCAGAAACAGAATCAGGGCTGTCCATGGAAACGGGTCAGAACCAGAACCAGGCTGCACTGGGTCTCAGTTGGTGGAAGAAGAACTCCTCCAGGTGATCAACATGTTCCTGAATAAATGAGCCGTTCGGGTCGAGATGTTCTGGGCGAGTTTCTGTCGGTGGCTCTGACTCTGCCGAGGTCAGCAGGATTATCAGCAGCTGAAAGAACAAATGGAATAATCCGGAAAACTTGTCAGGAAGGCGGCAAAGAAATGGTGAGGACAGCTGACAGAGAGGGTCAGCTTACACACACACACACACACACACACACACAGGTCTGTACTTGTGTTTGTTCTCCAATCCTCTCACATTTGTTCCTCTGTCTTTGTGAGGACTCGTTAACATACCGGACTCTCAGCCTTGACGGGTCTCCGAGGATGTTTTTCTCCTGATGTTCCGGTCGACCCGGTTCTACTGGAACCAGAACATCTGCTCCTCCTCCAGCTGCTGTGGCTCTGAGTCAAACCAACCTGTTCCCCTCCTGGCCTGTGGGGGCGCTGCACCAAGAACCACTGAAGGAAACGACACAAAAACCTCTGAAGACACTGAGTAACTTCCTTCTTCACCAGGTGGAAACAAGATGGAGGACGTTAGCGGTTGGAGCATTTCTCTTTAGGCTAAAGACCAGGAGCCATTTCTGCTGCTAGCATTGGCTAGCATGTTAGCTTTGGTTGTATTTACCCAGAATGCCCTGCACGGTAGTCCACTTCCTGCTCTCTGGTCCGCTTGGCCTGGTTCACTTCAACCGAACCCAGACCGAGGTTTGGAGGACCAGAGGTGAGAGGTCGATTCGCATTCACACCTCACCAACCGGACCGGAATTTGACTAGGCAGACGGACTGGAGTTGGACTAAAGTGGACTGAACAGAGACGATGTTCAGGATGTTTGAGACTTCTCCGTAGGATAATCAGTCCCTCCAGGATTTCCTGATTGTTTTTGTGACATTTTTCTGATCAAAGTCATGAAAAATGGACCAGATTGGACCACAGTTTGGTCCGGTTGGGCGGAGCTACAGGAGTCACACATCACAGTCCACTGATTGGACAGAAAAACGGAACGAGACATTCGGGCGCGCCGCGTTTGTCGTTGGACTAGCATAGCGCTACGCTAGGAGTTTGGGTTTTACCCTCCTGAATATACTGACCATAAAACGTCGTATGAACCGTAACAACGCGTAGCGCTTTAGATTGTCCTTAGATTTAAGTTTGAACTTTGACTAGGACATTCTAACAGATAAAAATGCATCCTTCTAAAGTGGTGTTATCCAAGCACTTGCAGGCCAAAATTATGATTCATAAAATTAAAAATGTAGAAAATTGCTCCTCTGTTTTTTTCAACCTTCTCACCAGAAACTAAGAAAAATTAATGAAACAAATAAACAAATATGTCTGTGAAAATCCAAAACATTAAAATTCAGTCTTTATAGAGTCAACTGATTTTAAATTTTCTGGTCTAGAAGAAAAATGTCAGATCTCAGCAACAAGAACAGCATGTGAGCAGCTCCTGCTAGGGCCCACATCTCTGTCCCGGACGGCCCAGATCGGCCCGCGGGCCACATGTTGAGCAGCCGTCCTGACCGGCTGGTGGTGTGTGTTTCAGGCTGAGGCGGGAATGGGTCGTCCGTCTGGAGAACCGGAACAAACACCTGAAGAAGCTCAACGACGGCTTCGTCCGGAAGGCGAAGACGGAGAAGTCAGCTGACCAGACATGAGCCAATCAGAGGGCAGCAGGAGCGACGGACGAGTTTCAGTGTTTAGATTCATAAAATGTTTATGAATAAAATGTTTAGTTCTGCTGTGAAATGAAACAATGGTTCTGTTTGAGTTCCTCTGGGTTTTACTCTGATGGTGACTCAGCAGAACTGGACTAACATGATGATGATGATGATGATGATGATGTGCAGCCAGAACATCCGGGTTCTGACCCGTCTGGGTCCGATTAAAGAGCCACTTTCATTGTTTTCATTATTAGAGGTTCTGGTGGACCTAAACGAGTCGATCCGGATCAGAAAACAAGGAGGAAACTTCTGACAAAAAACTCACAAATTTCTGAGATCAATCTCAGAAATTTGTGAGTTTTTTCCCATCTACAGCTGTTGGATCCCTGTTAAACAGCGACGCCTGCTGGTGAACCCAGAGAACAGCAACTACTCGTTCCTGGACCCCAGGGTCAAAGGTCATCCAGGCGAGAACGAGACAAAGTTCTGATCAGCTCAGAAACTCAGACTTTAAACTTTCACACCATAAAACTACAACCTGTGACGCAGCGTAAAACTTTAGAGTAAATAATTCTAATTCGTTAGTAGGAAAAAAGACAATTAAACTTTATTTCAGACTCAACATCCAAACAGATCCGACAAAAAAAACAAACAAGCAACCAAATATACAATCATCCAAAAATTAAAATAAGGTTTAAATAATTTACTTAAAACCCAAAGTACGTATTTATTGATGTCCACGATTAATTTATTGTGTCTGTGCCTGAAGAATCACAATGAAATCAGTTTGGAAGTAAAGAAATTAGAAAAATGTCACAACTTCCACAGAAACCAAGATAAAAACCACATGGAATAATTTAAACAGTTTACTGGCAAAAAATGTTGATTTTGAGTTTAGTTACACTGTAAATTATTTAAACTTATTTATTTCATGGCATATTTAATTAATGACTTAATTAGTTTTTAAAGGGATGAAGCAAATAAAAACTTAGTGATTTCCATCTGTGTCCCATGAAACAAACAATACAAAAATAACATTAATATAAATAAGAAACGGTGCAAACAACCATGAGCTACATATTTTAAGATACTTTCATCAAAGTGCGAGTGTCTTTCAAAATGTTTAAAAACCTAAATCTGTCGTAAAACAGGAGCTGAAACGGGAAGTTTTGGTTTTTATTCATTTTGTCCCCTTCAGGCCTCCGTACTCAGCATGTGTGTTTTTCCTGTTGAGCAGAACCGTTCTGACCCGTTTGTCCTGCAGAACCCGGAAAATCTTTATGGCTTTTTATTCACCTGGAGACGTTTCAAGGCTTTTATTCTGAAAGTCGTCCCGGTTCTGTTCAGGTTTTGTTAAAACCAGGTTCTGAAGGTCCGGTGGGTTTGAACCAGCCGGTCAGACAGTCATCATTACATTTCAGATTAAAAGCTGAACGTTGTGGCATTCCCTTCACAATAAGAGCCCGGCAGCCGTGACTTCCTGTGGGGTCAGTAGAGGCTCTGGATCGGGAGCAGGGTCGGGTTCTGGCTCTGCCGCAGCAGCTCCTCCCTCAGCGCCGGCGCCTGGACCTCCATCCAGACGTAGCGCGGGTTCTCCACCGGCGGGGGCGTGGCCGGCGCCGGCCGCTCCGCCGCCAGGCCGTCCTCGTCCCGCTGCGGCCGGTCGGGCGTCAGCGCGGCCAGCGTGTTGAAGCAGACGCCGTCGGTGCGGCCGTGCTGCCGGCCGTTGTGCTGCAGGCTGAGGACGCCCAGCGTGGCGACGTCGTGGTTGTAGTACGACGCCGGCAGCGCCTCCTGCGCCGCCATGTTGGCCGCCCACGTCACGGCGTGGGTCCTCAGGGCCGCCGCCGTGGGCAGGTGGGGGGTCGGAGCTGCGGGGGCGCGAGGGAGATGAGTAACGGCATGGCGTCCGGTTGTCATGGTGACGGCAGAGGGCGTTACCTTGGACCAGCAGGATCCAGACCCGCTTCTCGGCTCCGACGAACAGCAGCAGCGTCCGCTGGACGATGTGGCGGCAGCTCAGGTCCAGAGGCAGCGAGGCGCCGTGCCAGGGGCTGCGGTGGTACCTGAAGGGTCAGAGGTCAGAGGTCAGCACGCGGCAGACCTGGTTTAATCTGGATCAAACGTTTCACACCAACAGAATATTCTGGTTACTGATCCGTATGAATACTTTTGACCCATCCAGAGGACGGAAACCGGACCAGAACCTGACCTTTGACCTCTCCAGGTGGTCACCGTGGTTCTGGTGCTGGTCGGAGCGTTCGGGTCTGACCTGAGTCCGTAGTCGATGAGGCGCAGGATGTCCCGCCCCCTGAGCGACAGGCTGGACTGTCTGTCCCACCAGGACGCCTGCAGAGACTCCTGGTCCGCAGCCGTCAGCGTCTTCATGCTTCCTCCTGACAGACAGGAAGCACACCTTCAGGCTCCGCCCACCTGACCCCGACCCCTCCCTCCCTCCAGCGGAGCGGCCGTGACCTCTGACCTGTGATGCGGGCCAAGAAGATGAAGCGGATCCACTGCGGTCCCTGTTCCTGGATCAGCAGCAACGTGATTGGCTGGCAGTCGAAGCCCGCCTCCTCCTTCACCTGCGGCGGACAGGATCAGGTGACCAAAGGCTGAGTTCCCGTTACCATGGTGACAGGCTGGACTCACCTCCCTCCGCAGCGCCTCCTCCAGGCTCTCCCCCACCTCCACCCGACCCGCTGGGAGGTACCACTGCTTGTAGCAGTCCGGCTTCGCCTCCTGCACCATCAGCACCTCCTCCTGCGTAAATATGAATATTATATAAAAATAGAAATGACCCTGAATAAAATACAATAAATACTCATGGAGAAAAGATTTATATTATGCATAATAGGTTAAACTCTTCCTTCCTGGGGAAATACAAGTTATTAAATTTGGTGTTTAATGTGAATTTAGTGTTCATCAACTTTTAAACCAGGGGCCCCAAAGTGGGTCCTGGGGTTAGGGTCGGGTAAGGCTCCGGCATCCTGCATGTTTTATTGTCTCCCTGGTGGCAACAACCTCCTCAGCAGGTCAAAGTTCCCCTCAGGCCTCCAACATCCATCATTTGATCCGTTAAACCAGGGAGAGAATAAAACATGCAGGATGC